GCTTTTGTGGGTTGTTTGGGGGGGTGGGGGGGTGGGTTAAAAGACAAACTCCCCAAAACAGCAGCAATGGTAGAAGCAGGAAAGGGGTAAGTGTGATGTAATGACATTTCACCCAAATAACAGTCTAAGCATTTTCTGCTTTGTTTTGTGAATTTTGGGTTTACACTCTGTGAATGCTCAGATATGCTCAAACTTCCTTGATAGGTAGTCTGGTTAAAAGAAACAACTACTTCTCCCCACCACCACCACCATCACTCCTACACAAAGGCCACAAAACCAGAAGGAGAGTAATTAATGCAATCCAAAAGGACAAGGGAAAGACTGGGCTCCGGCCTGATCATACACAATGATAGCCAAATGATCCTGAGCTCACCTTTCCCTGCCTTGGCCTATTTTGATGGGGAGGTAACTGTAGAAAGAAGGTCTCTCTTTAAAAAGCCATCCTTAGAAAAACATTCAGGGAAAGCCATTCTTGGAGAGCGGTTATCCTCAAGACACCAAAGGACACACACACAGGCATATGGTCTGAAAAAAGGCAACCAAACCAATCTGAGATAGACTGAGCCTGAACATCAAACTTGGAACCATTAAGACGTTTCTTCTATCTCCCTAACATCATAGAGATAAATTGTAGATTTTGGGGAAGAGGATGTGTGCTTAAACCTGTTTAATTTTCTCTGTGCTCAGACGTTGTAGTCTTTTGCTATTCAACTGTGGTTTATTCTTGTGTGTCAATTGTATTCTATATTCTTTAAGAGAATTTTTTCTGAAATTGGAGTCACATGGTCCCTGCACCCATGAAAAAGCCTTATACATCAGCTCACACTTTCTGAACTGTCGGAGAGAACAGAAAGCTCCTGCTCAGCTGAGAGTCTCTTTAACAAGTAAGGTTTCTTTTTTCTTACCCCTCCATTCTAGCACAAACCTCTTCTCCAGAACTTTTCAAAGCCGTTTTCTTACAGTAGATGTCTCTTGGGGGTATTAAAATCCATATCAACTCGACTTTAACTTGATCCTACGCAGTCTTTTATGTTCGTTGCAATGTGCTGGTGAATCTTGTTAAATTAAATAAAATAAAAACGGGTGGTCGCTGTAAAGAAAAAACATGGCAGCCATGGTTTTTTCCACGTCCCCGATTGCCATCAGCAGGGGTGGCCAAAGAAGCTCCTTGCCACTCCACCTCCCTCCAGGAAGCAGAGCGGAGCCCACCCGATTGTTCAGGGGCCTCCAAAAGAGCGAAGCGGGGACGGGCGTCTCGGGACGGCTAAGAATGATTACTTAGGTATGTTAAAAACCAGGCCCCTTATTAAATTAATACTTTTGCTCAGCTTATTTTCCCAAAGAGAACAAGGAGAGAATAAAATGTAAACTTTCTAGGAAAACAGAATACTTCAATACATGTGATCTTTTTGGTAAAAATGTTCCATGTTAGAGATCTTGTTGTTGTTTCAAACTGCTATTCTCTTAAAGGCCAACAGCTGACAGCTCTTACTAAACTCTAAATCTGAGAGGGAATGTGTGGATTCACTGAAAGTTGTCAGCTCCTTGTTGAGGACTAGCAGCTTAAGTAGTGCCTGCTGAGTAAACCCTATAGAAGTCATTTTACCACAGTGGGTAGGTAAAGTTCTCTGAACAGCTACAAAAGATGGCTATCCATTGCACAGGGATTAGATCATTAGTACCAAATAGAGATATCACTAGTATAACACTGACTGGGTGTGTGGGTGTGGGTGTGGGTGTGTACTTTTCCTGAGACAAAGCTGTGGGGGGTGACATTTTGCTGAATATTGGTTATGGTTGAGGACTAAAACGAGGACTTTATGCAGTCAAAACAAGAGACTATACAGCTCCCAGCATTCAGTTGTAGAATGCCCTTTATATTATTCTAGACAATGGGGCCTATCACCATGGAGTTTGTTCTTTTTGTGCAGTTAGTGCCATTTCTCAGTCATTGACCTAATTTCCAATAAGCATGTAATATAGACAGGTACCTGGGTATAATGGCCACACATCTCGCCTTCTGCACATGTCAGTGTGGTCATATTATAATGCTGGTACTCGTCGTACCAGTTTTCCACTGCTGTCTTCACAGACAAGTCACCAGTCATGGCAAAGAGGTTCTCGCCTCGCCAGCCACGCTCCTTGTTGTGTTCCCAGATGCATTTCGTTGCATAGTCTTTGGCAAAAGGTTCCAGCTCTGTATCCCAGCTCTGAAATGAGGACAAACCAAGACATCATCATTACACAGATGGCCTGTTTGTATTTGCCAAGGCAAGGGGTGCGCAGTGCTTACTGAAAATCGGTCAGAGTATCTGGCATCCACAGTGGTCTAGCTGGCCTGGTGCTTCCCCCAAAGTGAGCAAGCACTTCTCATAACAGGGAAAAATGGAGGCCAGGAGTCCAAATAGACTGGGCGTCAGACATAAATAATTTGCACTTTATAGCCATCTAATTACATTTTTACCTCACATTAACTTCTTCAGACACCTTCAGGAAGAGGGAGCAACAGCCACAGGGAACCATCTTAATCTTTTCTGCTGACTGAAAAACAGGGGACTCTGGGCTCTAAATGCCTTTAGCTTCCTTTGCAACTACCAACCTAAGGCAAATCTGACTGCAAATCAGAATGCAGCATCAATGGAAGCTGAAAGTATTTTAAGCTTTGCTTTCCCCCATTTTACTGCTGAATCATTGAGGCACTAAAAGCAGAAGATACTTGCCCAAGATTACACAACTATATAGGAATGTTTATAAACATATATACATATTTAAAGTCATTAACACTGAGGCACCATTTTTAAATAAAACAAAAAAAACCCCTAAACCTGATAAATTTTAAACTGACAGCTGATTTATACATTGTGCAGAATGAAACAGAAGATTCTGGAATGACCACTCCAACCTGCAGTGCCAGTAGAGTCGTCCATTTGTTTAGTGTTGCCCACATATTTTTTAAAAAACTTTTTGAGTGTAATAAACCAGTATTTCAACAAGAAATATTTAGCATAGCCTTCTTCTGCCAGGAAGTTTTTAACAGAGGGGAATATATAAAATATATAGTTCTGGGTATAGTAAACTAGCATCTCAGGCTATAGTCCAGGAGTCCCACAATCTTCCTCTTCATTTGGCATGATGTGCAGAGTGACTCTGAAGCCTGCAGTACAGCAGAGAATAACCCCCCCCCCACTTCCCACTTCCAACCATGTTAGGAGGTATGCGTAGTAAATACGAAGAACTTCTCCCTGCTGAGAAGAGAAAGGCATGCCCAGTTTAACAGCTGTGCTAGGCTAGAGCCAATACAAACATCTGGAAAGCTTGTTACTTAACAGAAACCAACAGCTGCTTGCCAACAGATCCCTCCAGTGCAGTGATAGACAGTCCCTTCTTCTCCAGCTGCGCTCCATAGGCTACTTAGCAGCCGTTGCTAAGCAAGAAAAGAAGAATTTGCGTCCGAGGAGATAAGGAGGGATAGAACTGTTGTCAATAAATAAATGTATGGGGGGGGGGAGAATAATAAATACATACATACATACATACATACATACATAAATGTATGGAGAGGTTTGAATACAGATAAGATACAGAGTCAGGTATTCTTACAGGGAGGTATACATGATTTTAAGCATGGTCCAAAAAAAGCCAAGCAAAGAAACAGACCCTTGACTAACACGCTCCAAGGCACACATGCAAAACTTTCTTGAAGTTAGTCACTTGGCTGGCTGCTTACAAGGCAGAGATGTCATTTATTTAAAGAGGAGGAAAAAGACATTTGCTTTGATGGAGGTGAATGAAACTGTTCTGATTCCACTCCACTTCCAAGCATGAGACTCAAAGCTGATACAGACACAGGGGTCATTTCCTGCAGGAGCGCACAGGAGCGGAGCTCCGGCAATAAAGAGCCCAGGGGGCGGGACAATGCAACAAGCCCCACCCCCTGCTCACAACAGCCCTCAGAGCAAGAAGCAGCCAAGTAAGTTGCAGAGCCCCCCCCCAGCCCCCCCCCCGGTCGAAAACAATCCAGTGGCACCTTTAAAACCAAGTTTTATTCAGGTACAAGCTCTCCCTCCTCTGTGAGGACAGATCTGCACGTCCCCGTCCCCCCCAATAACTAGCAATCCAAAATAGTCCAGTGGAGCCTGAGAGGTGGGTGTTGTGATGTCAGGGGGTGTGGCATATGCAAATAAGTTATGCTAATGAGTTGTGCTAATGAGCCCCTGCACCTCTTTTTCTACGAAATGACCCCTGTATAGACATTACACTTGCCACAGGGACAGGATGCTTGGGATGTGTTTCCCAGCCCACCCCAGCAACACCAGGTTGCTAAGCCATCCCATGAATACAGATAAGGGTGAGCTGGAAATGCAGCAAAATGATGCCGGCTGGGGCAAAAGTAACAGAAATCCATGTCCTTAACTGATTCTTGACAATGTTTTTTCCTCCCTGCACAGTGATTAAATATTGTTATTAATAATAATAATTTATACAGCGCCATAAGCATACATGAAGCTTTACTAAGCTTCATTGTGAGTAAAGCAACTGATTAATTTCTACTTTCTAGGCTGTAAAATGACTGTATTTTAATAGTCTATTCATATTTTGTTTGGTGGAGATTAGACATATTTAAGCTCCTCACAATTCCATTGTATTATAGACAATATCTACATTTTACAATGACAAAAGGCCCAATTACATCAAACTATACTAGCCAGAGGCTCTCCTCTGATTTTTAAACAAAATAAATATTTGGAACTATATTCAGCCTAGACAGGGTCCTGTGTGTATGCTCAGAAGTGTGTCTGCAGGGTCTTTAAAGCCTCTGCGCGTAGTGCACAAATCTGTGGATGTCAAGGAACTTAAACATTTATAGGAGTAAAGGAGGGTATAGCATGGATTTTTTTAGATTTGAACTTTTAAACTCCCATAGGTAACTTTCAATCACAGTTAATTAAATTCTCAAACCAAGGCCTGATTTACATATGCATTAAGAAGAGGTCGTAGAATTCTGAAGTGATAGAGGGACTATTCCAAGACTAGGAAAAAGGCCCATTGTGGAAATAAATACAACGGCCTCTAGAAAGAGGCTCTGGGC